GTACTACATACCCGCCTGATTGGTGGCCCCCGTAGTACCTTTACTTCTCATTGCCTTGTTTGCCGTAACTTATGTCGGGGAAAAAAGAAAGCAGCAGTTGATTGGCCAGATCGGTATCGTAAAATTACATTTTTTATTTATAACCTTTTACTTTGTTGCTTACCACTAGAATTGCCCAAGTATTGGATTTCAATCCTTTTTTCATTATTTTGATCCCCTTTTTTTTATTAAAGCGCCGTAGACGGAAAAATGAAAATCAGAAGGTGAAGTTTGGCGTAAATATTCTTTAATCGATTAAGAACTAATAGGGTAAAAATGGTTGCTATCTATATACGCACATACAGTTAGCTGGCAAGTAGTCAAATAGCGACTTCCGTTGCATCAACAAACATTACGATGTACATTGGTTTCTATTTTGAGAATAATTTTTGCTTCGCTTCTTATTAGCTCTCTCTGATAGCTACCATCATAACTTTAAAATTAGGTTATGAAAATCTACTAAAAGTAGAGATCGCAACTCGGGCCATTGATTTTTTTTCTCTTTTTAATTTAGTGAAAACTTTATAACGGCTGTGGCAATTTTTCAACTCGCAACTATAGCGAAAACTGAACTTCACACGATGGAGTCAATAAGGTGTCATTTTTAATACTTCTTGAAGAACACTACACCATAACAGTAATTTAACATAAAAAAATTAAATTTAGCAAATTTGGCCTATTTTTTGGATTCCTTATAAGGATTTTCAAGAAAATTGACCCTTTTTAGAGCAGATAAGTCTACATTTTAATATGTGATGGTGAAAATTGACCCATTATAATATAGTAACTTTATACAAAAATGACCTGTAGAAATTTTGGACCGTCTACGCCTATTTTTGTGTCCTGCCCTATGTAAGGATTAATTTTGCACTACATTAGTTTGCGTTTTGGGCCCGCTTGCCCATAAACACGCCCTTGAAAAAATTGCCTTGATATAGAAACAAGTTGTAATTTTTGTCTTCTAGAATAAAAATAAGCATTGTGTTCGACAATGTGGTGCAGGGTATTTAACGGTCGGCCTTCTCCACCTGTAATGCTTTTTATTATTTAGCTGCAGCGAAAGATCATTTCCCTCCTTGTGTTAAATATTAATAACCGAAAACTCGGGTAAATGATAAACTTTTTCCGGTTTTTTCACTTTCGCTGAGTTTTACCCCCTTACGGTTGTAAATTATTCGCTGATTTTTAATGAAACCTCAGTAACGATAAAGCTTTATTAGTATTCAATGAATATGTCCTCATATATTTTTATTTATACGTGTCTTTAATATGCTTTGACTTTCTTTAAGAAACACTCACCTGTTAAAGATATAAGTAATATACATATGTGAAGATATTGTCAGTTTGGTTTTGGTAAAACAATGGAGAAATTCTGAATTTCGTGTGTAACCACACTAGAACTGTTGCAACTTATAAACCAAAGTCATGAAAGCCTAATACATACCGTTTGAAAATTGAATATCATATGGATCCTTCAATAGTCCAACTGTATCTGCATATCATTCCACGAACTTATCAAACGACAGATTATATAAAAAGAAGCAACAAAAAGCGCCTAATCCGCCTATCTCTGGCGCAGTACGGAAGCAATAAAAAATTAATGTTATTTACGCAACCAAAGCTCTAATTAATCTTGAGAGCCGGATCCATTTTAAAAGTAGATTTCCATTAGCGTTGAAAATATGTTTTTCTCAGGTATAAAGTGGGATATAAACGTCACAGTCATTCAATCTTAAGATGCTTAATTGCTCCATTAGTCTGCGTTTGCATCATTTCCGTAATGAAAAACCATTTATTTCGATTTTATTGCATTTCAGTAATAATTTTGATAAGGCATATTGGAGGTAAAAAAGTTCTTTACGTAGTATATAAATAGTTTGAACTGCGTTATGAATTCCGAAAACCCATAAAATCTTACCAATTAGCCAGAAAGAGAAAAAATAAATAATGTTTCCAAAGCGGCGAAAGGGATAAATTTTAAATTTCGACATATTACTTAACTTATTACCCACTTTTGTGTCCAATCATAACTACTTTTTACACAATAAAAAATAGAAGGTTCTCTCTTTTCCAAAGGATTCATGCAATTTCCCTTGCAAGTATGTCATACAAAATAATTGCGAATTTGTAAAACAACTTTTACTTTTATGAAAATTTAATACATTTATAATTTTATTCTTTGCCAATCATCCAATAATATTACGGTAATGTATATGTTATTATAAATAATTTTTTTGAAGTGCTTATCTAGATACGCAAATGTGAAGAGAGCTGAAAAGAAATTGGGTGTAACAAGCGGAGTGGCCGGGATGCTTTTATATTAAAAATAAGAAAATTAAATAAATTAATAATAATTGAACAGACAGAAGCATGTTAATGCTAATAAACGTAGAGGTGATATATAAGACCGAAGAGAAATTTCAAATGGACGAATACTATTTCTATTGCTGATTACGCATTTAATTATCGAATAAGTTATGCGCAATTTTTTTTTAATAATTTACACTGTGGAAGTGTGGATATGTCCATGTTATTGAAAGCAATTGATAGCCAGAAATTATAATTGCAATAATAATTTCTGTGGTGGAAAACGCCTGTATACTGTGAAACAATGATAAACATTTACTCAATCCTGGAGAAGAAAGAACATTACTGGTCAGTTTCCATTATATAAAAAAGTAAGTTGAGTGGTTTCTTTGTACCAGAATAAAATTATCTGGAGTGCATAAACCACTTCGCGTAAATTCAGAAATGTGACGTAAAATTAAACTGTCTAATTTTGTTACAAAAAGCATTTTACAAGTCTGATCGCTACAAGAGCTTAAATATTTATCTTGGAAACGAGTTATGCAAATTATACAAAACGAGAAATTTTATTTCAAAGCATCAATAATTTTATCAAATTCGTTTATAATGCTTAGATCGCCACTGCGCTCAACAATATCTTCTGCATTAATCAAATTTTTACTACATTTTATTTCATCCAACGTTTTGCCAGCAAAACGTGCATCATTAAGTTTTACTTTAACCTTAACTTTGGCCAAGCAATCGAGAGAATCAGTGAATTCGTACATATCTAAAATTAAGAATTCGTCATCTGATTGCACTTCATCAATATCTAGATGGACATTCTCATCATCATTGGGGTCGCAACAGAGTCGATCCATGCCTGAAGTTAAAGCCTGCACAGGTTCGTCAATGTTCTCAACTAAACCATTTGTGTCTGTTACTTCATCAGGAACGCTTTTTCCATTGTTGTTGTTTTGAGAGAATATAACCGTAACCATCGAAGACGTACTATCGTCTGAAAATTCTGAATTTCCATGTAGCAAAAATGGTGATGGTGGGTTAATTTGAGCTTTGCTTATATAAAGACTCGCATCAAACAATCCATTAATACTTTTTTCTGCTTTAGGCGATAAGCAAAGAGAATGTTCGATTGTCAAGCACCTATCGCATTTGAAGTCTTCAACCTTTTCTTTGGAATTTTCAAATCCCGGTATGCAAGTCGGATTATGAGCACCAAAGGAGCCACAAAGCTTGCATACGGTCAAAAACCACTTACGTCCTTCTATATATTCAACGTATTCACGCCCTCTAGGACAATTGCATTTTGTCATGTCACAACGATTGTAGCCGCAATGCAAATCTCTGTAGGCATTCGGCTCAAGCTCCCACTTTGCATCACGATCCGGCACAAATATGCCCTGCAGCTTTACCGCATCTCGAAATTCCCCGCTCTTACACCAAATGCATTTCAAATAGTAGCCAGCGCTTAAGGCGTATTTTTGCATGCATAAGTTGTGAACAAACCCATTTTTACAGCACTCGGCATAAATCCAATTTTTAGGATGATAATTGTACATACGCTTAGTGCAGATAAAACACACAGCATGATCGCCGGAACATTTGGAATTCATCAATTGTTGTTGGTAATCATTTAAAGGCAGACAAGCGTGGCAATATGAATTAAATTCTCCCACAAATTGAAATAAACATTCGTTAAGATGGCCACAAGTTATATGAAAATATTTCTTGCATATTTTACAGCCTATTGTGGCGCTAGACTTTGAGCAATATTTGCATATTCGTTTAGTAGCGTCCGCAATTTCTCTACGTATATCACGAAATAGGAAACCCAAAATACCGGAGGCATCATTGCCGTTCTGAGGTAGATTAGTGGATAACAGTAGGCAGTAATAATGTATCGTTAAGTCTTTGCTGGTCATCCACTCGCCAAATATTAGTACATCATCACCTTCAATGCTGGAAGTTTGTCTACACATGCTGCACTGATCTTCCTCTTTCCAATGAGCCATCTTTCATATGACATATAAAATAATACTGCACAATCCCTTTAGCGATTCTGTTTTAATCTTAAAATCTCAACACAAATTGTCCGCGCAAAAGCATTGCCAATTGAATTACAACAGCTTACGATAATAAATCATTTAGAACACTGCCAGACATAAGTATTTTCTTGCATTTTAGACTTTGACGGTTTAAATTGAAGACATTAAAAGCAATCAGTAGAAAAACATAGAAAACTGTTCCCTATTTTTACCAGATCCTTAATTTCAGCGGGTTTAATTTAGATGTCGTAACCTCAAAGGCAAAAGTGAGACTTTAGGTAATTACATTTTTATTCGAAATTTGCAACTTTTTTGTTTTATATTCGGTGGCGCAACTCTAGTTTGGCTATAGTATTACAAATACGCATATTGAAAACCAATACTTGCCATTTTTTAGGCAGCTTTATGTTGGAAATGTGTTTCTTTTTTCATATAAAATAATATTTAGAAAATTCAATAAAGCTAAATAGCAATATGAAAAATATATTGTTTTGATTGTGCTTACGCCTTTTGCGCGGCGTTTCAATTTTTAATCCGAGTTGCACAAAAGCGTACGTTGTTTATCTTTATGATGGTAGAAAGTCTTTTATATCAAATTGGAAGAAAAACAGCTGAAAGAGCCGGTGCAGAACGTGCATATTTTTATGTTAAATAATAATTAATAGTTGGAGGATATGTTGAAATCGCGGAACTTTTGGTGTACCCAGAGACGATGGAAAAGTGGGAAAACTCGTTGGTCAATCCAACAAAGAAAAAGAACTAATATTGACAGAGCTTTGGAAAATTTCGACGACTTCTATGGTTCAGTTTTCGGATTACGATGGAAAAATATGCGAGTTGCCCTTTTGACTGAACACAAATATATAGCTATGGTTAATAATTTTGGTGATACAGAGAAAACGTGTAGCCAACTGGAAATGGATGGTGAGCAGTTAAACGGAATATATAAAAATTTCATGGAAATATTTACCTTTTATTTTTTAGGGGCGATTAATATAAAATCATTGGTGCAATTAGCTAAAGAAAGATTAGAAGGAGAGTCACTCTTAGAGAATAATCCGTCAAGTTATAAAATGGAGGATAAATTGGAAATAATTGCCCGTCGCCAAGAGGAACGCGAAATTCGATCTTTATATCCTGAAGGCACAACAGAACAAGAGATACCGCAACACCTAGAGTATAAAACAAGTGACGACACGGAATTGAAGCGGCCACCTACCTCTGACTTAAATGAAACACCTAAAAGTAGTATGGGTCACGCTTTAGAAACTGATGTATGCCTAGATGAACGACGTATAATAGACCCCGAAATTGGTACCGGTGGTCTTTATGAATTTGTCCCCGCCACCAAAATCAAAGGCATGGAGGATTGGATACCGGAATCGGACTACTATCGATATTATCAAACGACAACAGATTTTCCTTTGAAAATAGAACCAGAATTAAACTTTTCGTACCCAGAAAACTTGGCCTTATATACATACGAAATGGGGAATTGCTCTGAATTTCGTGCACCACGCAAGTGTTTAACAGGTTCGTTATGTTAATTACCGTACTTTTTTGGACATTAGCGAAATTCTTTTTAACCCACTAAGGCGTTCTATCACACTACTTAATGGATGGAGCA